ACCGTACGTTCGATATTTCTTTTTCTTTTTTTTCTCTCTTGAGGGGGAGGGATTGAACATTCAAGAATAGAAGATGATTAAGATGTTTCGCTATAACGGCGAAACAAAATCATCTGGTTGCTGCAGTCGGTATAATCGCTCGGTTCGGCTGACGCACCAACTAAAGCAGTCGCAGTCGTACATTGCGCGGTGCGGGTGCGCGTTGTCAAAAACGTGCGTGTTACTTCGTTGCCCGTCAAAACGGATGGAACGGAAAGCGTGGTAATCATGTAAAACGCGATGTCAACGTGAATCCGTCTGTCTGATCGACTATCGGTTCCCGCGACGATTTAGACGATCGGTGTGCTCGCATGCATGACAATACACGATTCCCCTCGTCTGTCGTGCGTCAACGAGATCTGCTCGTGCGTGTCTGTCGTCGTATGCGGTCAGACGTGAGTACGTTTCGTTAGACAGAGGAGGGTCCATCGAGCCGGGCATTCCGCGAAATGTGTTCCCTTTAAAAAAAAAGATCGGATTGCATCGCGAGTGACATCCAAGCTTGATGAACGAGAGGGGAATGGAGAACGCCATGCAGCCACCACTTCCACCGCCACCCCCACCCTCGGAAATCCTTGAGAATACCAGCACAGAACAGACGGTCACCCATGTCTTGACATTTGGTATGTTGCATTACGTTTCTTACACGTTCCAACGCGATTCGGCACGAGATAATTGTTTATCTCCAATTTGATAACGCGGAATGAGTTACCGTTGCGATAACACGCTTTCCTTTTTATTATATTGCTACGTAGCAGTCGCATCGAGTAGGTTCTAGAACCGGGTACAGAGAAAAATATTTCTAATGTATTGTCGTACGTTATATGCTATAACATTTGTTTAAAGTTAATTAATTTCTAGACTGAGGACGATTAGTCGACAAGTAGGATATGTATTTTATTTTTATAAACGTTCCATATTTCAGCCCTGATAGGCCTTGAGAGTTGTGTGCACATGAAAGTTCAATACACCTAATGGTAAATACATTTAAGAGTATTGCTTCTGAATTGATCCAGAAGCTAAAAGGCTTTTCTTTTCCTAACAAAAGTGTGCTGTCTGATTATAAAAACACGGTTCCCTCTATTGTCAATTTTCATGATTTAGTGTAAGCATTTTAGGGTGTTGCAGAAACATTATTATGTTGGTTATTTTTAATTTCTTGCTTGATTATAGATTACACAATGTAATAGAATATTAGATAGATATATTAGGTTATTTTTAAATACTCATATATATTATGAGTGATCTAGCATTGACCTGAACAGCCTCATGTGTTTGTTTTTGTCTCCTGTTCTATGTCCAATTCTCCTTCAAATAAAAAGATTGTAACATAATGTGTCAATAGCTTGTGTAACAGCCACAAATGTGACATTTGTACAAAACATTCTGCCTCCGGTGCAGTGGCATTGAGTCTATGCTTTTGTTGAAAGTAAATAAGGAATTTACACATAGGCCACCTAAAGAACAGAACCAATATGCACGTGTGAATATCTAAATTTAGTGGCTCATGAGCAGAAGGTGGCCTTTTAAGCGAATAACCATGCTGCCGTGGTAGTGAATTGTTTATCACCTTTTGTGCACAGCTACAGGACATTTTAAAATAAACCAGCTGACCTTTATAATTAGATTTGTGTAATATACTTTATGCATCAGTCACATTTTGTCATTCGTGTGGCCTTCCTTTACCACTTGAAATCAAAGCATAGCCTTATTGATTATTTAATGACATGCAGACTTCTGCTTTTCATTCACCTGTTGAATAAATGGATTGTACAGGTTAACTAACCATCCAAAACTCAACATAGAATTAAAATCATGTCTTATTTTCAAACAATTATTTTATCAAATTATATTCACGTATCGAGACTAAAGGAAACACAAAAATGGTCGTTCAGATAATTCGTGCATCGTTCGTGGTACATTCCCGAAAGCAGTGTACCGCGATCGTTGCATAATAATTATAAAATATATAGAACAATTCAAATACATGAAATCCGTAGTTGCGTCGATAGATTCCCACCTTAGACTCGATTCACGATACTTACATTCCAATTGCATCGTGAGCGGTCGATTAGAATTCAATTATCTATAACATCCAGTTTATTTTCCCTGATAACAACGATAACCGGACAATTAAGAAACCATTTGCACCTCGGTTAGCATTTAAAACATCTGCGTGACTCGCAGAGTAAAAATTATTGCTAGTGGCGCGTAATGATGTGCAAAACGAACTATGATGTTATCGATCGAATCGACATTCCAGTTATCGACGATCGATATTCATCTTCCCACGGCATTCAAGTACGCAAATTATCCGTCGAGTTCTTTGAACCGTATCTCGCGTCGCAAACGTATCCCATACTCTTTCTACCATGAATATTGATAATAATTACTAGTATGTTGTAACGCACGAATGATACGGGCCCCAACGATACGCTCACGTATACCGTGAATCAGAAACGTAGCTCTCGCGTTCCTTAAAAGCGCATGCCTCTACCACGGTACCCACGAACTCTCCTCGAAGTAACCTAACTGCGACACTTCTTATCCCCGGGATGCAAAAGCAACATTATCTAGCCGCTGAAGCAACGACGCAGGGAACAGGTTTCACCGTCCACGGATCCATTCGAAACGCGTCGCAACGCGATCAATTTTTCTACGTCGCAGTGCGCCCGAAATCCCTCGAAGCGAGCGTTACGTTTACCGTAATTCGAGCGCAAATCAGCGATACCCGAACGAGAATCGTCTGTAACGAATTGATTCAATAAATCCATCAAACTCATCACGGCTGTCTTTATTTATTCAAGAAACCCCGAGAAGCGTCGTCGTCGTGCCACGGTACCCACGTAAGTATGACACTCGACTACCGTTCTTTCATCGTCGAACGCGGACCCGAGTTAATTCGATTCCCCGGTCGAACCGAGGAATACGATTAGCTGGTATTACGCAACGGACCGGGGCGCTGGGTCCGGTTGATCCGTCACTGGGTGGGTCTCGGTGTTTTCCAAATCAGCTGTTAGTCGCCGGTGAAGGGTGACTCTGTCGGCTTCATAGTGGGGGGCAGGCGTCAGTCGACTTCGAGACTCGGGCCGGTGCGCATCGTGGCTCGTTATCGCGCACCTCGTTCTCAGTGTGTATGCGCGTATATATACACGCAGCCTCGTGCGCGCATATGTCCTCCTCGTTCTCGTTACGTGCCCGTCTCGGGAACGCTGTTCCGTGTTTGTGGCCCGTGTTAACGTGCTCCCCCGAGTGAAAGTGGAACGGGCCGTCGCGAAGGGACTTTTCCGACGAGGATTACCGACGACGACGTTGCAAGGGCTAGACGCGTGTGTCCACGCGAGATCAGTTAGCACGGTCGACCGCGCGTGTGGACGTCGCGTTTCAAGTGCAGCAATTCGCGTCGTCCAGGGGGGGACCCGCTAGCGTCACCGTTCGCCTACGGGGGACCCCATTTGCGTAGCGTTCCTCGCCGCTAGTGAAACCATATGCTCGTGGCAGTCGTGCTGGTACGGCACGCCGTAGTGGAAACTTCCGTGTACGTAGCCGAAGGGGAATACCGCAGTGTCCTGTTGCGTATTTAAAAATAAATACCAACGCGAAGCCCTTGCTCTCTCCCCCCACCGACTCTCCCTGGCCGCCGTCGTGGTTTCGGGCGTTTCGATCGGCTGAAAAGGGACACAGTGTACCGTTCTCTCGCTCTCTCTCACCCGTCAGCCGCCGCGGAACACGTGGCATCCGCGTTCGCGACGAGGAAGGAAATTTCGTTTTTCCTCTCCCCTTTTTCTTCGCTGCCACCTAACCCCCCGCCTACTCTGCTCCGCTGCCCCTCATCTTGAAACCAGCCGAGACAGAATCGGATATTCGCGAAGGTGGCCAAGGCCGAGGCTGTGCTCTCCGTACAAGGTACGCGACTTAAGTGTGTCAGTAGGATAACGAGACGGCAATCCGTTTCGTTCGGGCCGACACTTTTGCCTGACTCGGCGAAGGAATTGGAACACGACTGCATAACCAGAGAAAGGGATTGCGACACCCGGACTTTTGACACGCGTTTTCGAGCGCGTGAAAAAAAATTAGGTACGGCGGTGGATCTCGCGGCAGGGGGGGGCGTTGCTGCGAAGCTGGGCCGCGTCAACGATTGCGTCACGGCGAACGATCGACGTTAAAGTCGAGAAAATCGAACGAAAATACGTTGTTGCGTGTGCTCGATTGCTGGTATCGATTCGAACGGTTACGCGTGAACATAGAGGGGTATATGTTTTAAACGGTTCCACGGGAAACACGAACGATATAGGGTAAAGTTTAGTCCCATGAGACTACGTTATCGAATACTCGTCTCGCGAGCGTGTACTCGACAGCCAATCTTTTCCGTTAATTGCCCGAAGCTTGTAATTCCATCGGAACGCACAATTGATTTAATGTGACCTCGTAAATAAATGTCGAGACGCAGTCGGGTGCACGCGTACCAGGCGAACGCTCGAAGTCGTCGGGTACCCGCGCGAATCAATTTTACTGCTGCGTACCCGAGTTTTTATTCTTCTCGCGCGGTGGTGTCACGGTTTGCGGGACACCCCGTATATTGATTGCTCGGTAAACGATTGTTCGGCTAGCGGACGCGTGTACGGTGTGTAACACGGTTACGGTTAAGCCGATACACACGTAATCCCATTAACCGGTGTGCTCGGCTCGCGAATGTGTACGCTGGCCCGATTGTTTGTAGTTTCGACTATCGAGGATGCGAGGAAAGTTGCCCCCCCGCCGGCTGTTCGCAAGGGGAAGCCCGATGAATGGATATCGAATTGTTTCTTATAGCATTAGTCGCGGATACGTATCAAGGTCACCTTGGTTATTTCGCGTCGAGACGACGTCGCCGTTGCGTATCGGCCTTTATTTCGCTCAGTGTATCTTTAAAGACATATATTAAATTCGTGGAGCCAATATGACATGCAGTTTTCGAACAATCCGCCGCGAGATATTTCCACGAATGTTGACCGGGGGATTTAGTCACCGCTTACAGCGTCGCGCAGTGGTTCTCATTCGACTCGCGGCGCAACGCTGGGAATCCCGTTTCGCCGGCAGGCCGTGTTTTCCTCGAGTTTTTGCGTCCTCGGGTTTCAGGAATTCCTGAATCAGTAATTTATTTATCTCTCGGCTGGAGGATCGAGAGCTGAAGTTTCCTTGTCAGCCTAAAAATTCCTGGGGACGGGATTCCCAAGCATAATCGCCATCCTTTTTTCTATATTAACGCTGGAGTTACCGTGCCAGTCAAAATGGTCTCCTTGTTTCGCAATTATCGGTGCCCCGAGGCATTGGATATTCGAAATTTCGGAAATAGTTTCATTTGAATACTGTAATGAATGTCTGGAGAAAATAATTTATTGCTACAATTTTTGTGCGGATTACATATGAATTATGTTAACACTAGTACTACCGAGCGCTTAAACCGTATTTTCAAAATTTCTTTATAGAAGCTATAAGCGTGGATTTATTAAGATTTCAGTTTGCTTGTATTTCAGTTTAGGTATTCCTAAATCAGCTTCTTTAATCATTTCTTAAAGGAGTGTCTACCTTTACAGTAATTATAAAAGAAGAAATTAGGAATTGGTCGATTTGACTTGCTTGGTAGTTCCAGTGTTAAGAGGTGGAAAATTTATAGGCAATATTCTAGGAAGCATAGATTATCTCGCAACGTTCTAGGAATATTAGGTAGAAAAATGAATAGTCATTGAAATGGTGGTACGACTTTCACGCATCCATTCGATAGTAACTCGCGTTGCACTATAATCCGAGCTTGGCACAGTTCGCATAATCGAATTCCACTCTCATAGTTGAAGACGATATGTCACAATTACAAATATGCTGACGATAAATGTTGTGCGACTGTTAGCAAAACAATGACTATAACACAGTCGTAAATTGCCATGTCGTTCTATTGTATTGCTGTCACGGGAACGTTGTACCAGTCGCTTAATAATCGCAGCCACGAGTACATAGTTCCCTCTAACTATGGCGGGACTTGGCCGGTCACGTGACGGTGCAAAGTATAACATGACTATTTCACTATCGCGGCCAATATTTCCTACGACTGTGATCGAACCTTTAAACTATATTCACGCGGTAATTCCTCGTGATTGCCGCAGGACTGCGCGGTACCAACATGTCGGTACGCGGTCACGTTATTAACATGCTATTTATTAAAGTGTACAGTCATCGGGGTATCGTGGCAGAATGTGCCTGGTAACAACAGAAATTATCGGCGGCCGCTTCAACGTATCACGACTGTTACGCCGAAATTATAGTCCACCGGATAATGCTATTCTTCATTTTGCCGGCTGACTTTCCTTATTAATTATATTATCAGAGACCGCCGAGAGTAATCCGTGTGCACGCAACCGTTCGCGCAGGGTCTTAACACTTCACCTACCGAAAGCCTATTTATAGACCTCTTAATGTTAATGCCGTATTGAATCGAAGCTTAATCATTTCCGAATAAGCCGTTCATTTGTCAAAGCGATCAACTCCGCAAAACGAGAAGTAGACAACTTTGTTGAAGTTACATACGTTTCCAGAGAAAGAGATAGCACACGCGTGCTATCTTTAACTTCTCGCGGTATAATTATGATACGGGAAAGGTGCAAATGATAAAGACTACCTTCTACTAATATGTAAACACTAGCTGTATTGGAATTTCTACGAGATATTCTCTTAAGGTGAATGTAAACACACAAATAGAGACAAAATTATAGTACACTTAAGGTTTATCTTGATTTTCTTCAGTATGCGCGAGAGGTTTGAGGAAGTTAAATGGTCACTCAGTATTCAGTGATTCCTGATATTGGGGTCTGTCGCATGATGGGTCGTGGTAAAAGATACTGACAGTGAAATAAACGCAGTTCTTATTTTAAGGAAACTGAAAGTAACGATTACAGAAATTGCAAAAGTTCCTTCCAACCTTCCTTATACAATATAGAATATTTTTCAGACATGCTACCATTTTGTCTGTATTTATTTAGGTATATGTATTTCTACAAATCAGTAACTGTTGCGTTTACATATCAATAGACTAACTATGCCCTAATTATAACGCGAGAAATTAAATCTTTGGGACTGCAAACGAGAATGACTGCTTCTCGGTGACATTTTAAAACCTTCCAAACATGGAGTTAACCACTTTGACCTCTAATGACTCGTATACTAATTCCAAAAGAAATTGTTGCCACATTACTTAGGACTTAGCTTTCCGCGATAGAAGTGAATATCAGCCCAGGGAACGTCATTAAGAAATTCTTAGTCGGCGATAATTGGTGACCGAAAAGTACTAAATACCTGACAGCAGCTGAAGTCTAATTACCTTGTCCTACTCCGCGCTCCTCCCTCTTCGCACAGAACCTGTATGTACGCGCGCGGAGATAATCGTAACCGTATTACCCGAATATTAATCGTTCGGTTGGCTCACGGCCGAACACATCCGGTTATCCGGTTCTCGAGACCTCCGCCCTGTACACGGCACATTAGATATTAGAGTAGAGCGCAAGAGGAGAACGCTTATCGACCAGTTCTTATCTGCCTCGTCGAACGGACGGCGAGACTCACGATACGTGGAAAACGCGATCGGTTTTACGAGTGTACCGAGGATCGAACCGAACGGAAACTAAGCTCCGTGGCAGGACAAAAACCGATGGAATCCGACGCCCCGTTCGCGTTATAACACACGAAATGTCCCTTTTCTTTCCATTTTCTGCTTCTATCTTCAGCGAAGCAACTGTTACGAATCGGTCTGCTCCGTTTATCGGTGGTTAATCAGTCGTTTCCGTCAAACAGTGATAATTCGAAGGGACATCTTGATTTTAATGTTTCTCAATCGTTGAAGCGTCGCTCGGCGATAAGGGAACCTCTCCGAATTAACCCTTTGCACTCGAGAGGTAACTCAAGTCGCCACTTGATCGAATATACCAAAATATCTTGACTTCGTACGTTTCCGCATTAGTTTGAAAGAATGCGGTGTACGTCGAATACTTGTGACGAAAAACTTTCGAGTGGGATGGGTTAAGCATTCCGATTTCCTCGGAACAACTTGGCTAGCTTGTAGACCACATCGATGGAAAGATACTTTCTTGCTACTTGTTGGTTCTTTCGTGTGGATACACCTTAACGGTGAACTCGGACTTTCCTGTCTTTTTGTATATCTCGAACGCCACTAGAAATGAAAGTATTCTTGGAATAAGAATTTAACGGTTTCTCGTGACCCACAGAACTCTGAAATATGTTTCATACATTTCGTCGCGTAGTTTTGCACGATCTCCGCGGAGCATCGTCAAAGAAACGCATTGGAATACCAAAACCTCGGCGCCGTTGTTTTCGAGAAGTTGACCAGGGTTTCCTGTAAACGGAGCGTACAGAAAAACACCCGGGCAAGTCGGTTATAGTCAAAGGATGTTTCCACTCGAAAGAACCGACTAAAGCTGTGTTTACAATCATTTGCAGAGGGAACCTTTATCCTGAAATTCCTCGCGGTCTAGGAACTAGCTGACTAGCCAACTTAGCGATCCGTCTAAATCAATTACGCGAAAACAAGCGGCAGTCGTGGATCCAATTCCCCGGTCGGAGCACTCGGTAATCCGAAAAACTATACGTTGCTCCTGTTCTGATTCGTAGAATTTCGAAAACAAAGAAAACTCGCGATTCAACGCCTATCGAAACTGACAAGTCTAGTGTGTAAATTACAGCCTCGTTGTTGTTTGTGTCGAAGGATCGACAAGGTGTCCTCAAGACATTGCTCGCGGATCCCGCTGAAAAAGGGATTGGCGACAGGAAAAGAAGAGTCGAACGGGAAGAGTGGCCGGTGTTGACGATGCGTCGGTCCTCCTGGTTCAGTTGAACCCAGGTTCGTCGCGGTCGTTATGCAGTGAGGCCCAGGGAAGCGCGTTAGCCGACGGATTTCGTTCGTGGCCGATTATGCTGGAGTGTTGCGAGTCGCCGAGCACCATGAAGAATCCGGAGCACGAGAGCGGCTACTTCGAGGACGGCAGCGACGTCGAGACCACCGTCGAGAAGACGATCGTCCCCGAGGAGAGGAAGCACGGGTCGGCCTGTTACGGTTTGGCCAAGGCTATCCACAGCCTGGACGTCAGGGACTCCAGCGAGCCAGTTTCCGACGACTACGAGGACAGATTCAATAGAGGTACGGACGCGTTGATTTCCTCCAAACGGTATCGCCTTGGCGAACGATCTCTTGCAAGAGAAATGAGTCAACTTCTAACGGGTGTTCGATCTATTGCGATAACACTTAGGTACTTACAGTAGTAAACATCATTAGAGATCTTTCGCGCGATAGGAAAACATAAGTAAACTTTTAAAGCAATTTCTGTTTATCACGCTAATGTCTAGCTACCGATGATAGTTAAACAAGTATTGTTAGGGATCTTTGTACCACAAGACGCGATATAAAGCGTTTTATCACAGTTTTCTGACGGTAGCTAAGGAAAATGATCATTGGTGAGAAGGGATGATGTCTGAAATATAAAGCTCTTGTTTCTATTTGAAGAGCGTGTAATTAAAAAGGTTTATAAAGGTTCTCCGTACAATAAGTTATCAAAGTGGCCTGATCAGAAAGTCTTATGCGGCTTACGCGGTGCTCAACGCGTTAAGTATGTAGGCAGAGCGCTGGTCTAATGAATTACGAGGGTAGCGACGCCCTTGTAATGGGGTGTATAGTGCGGGATTGTAGAGGGGGTGAGTATTGTAAGCCTCGGAAACGATCTCGGGGTTGCATTCGTTGTTTTTCAAATAATATACACGGATAGAAAGAAAGGAAGGGAAGGTAGGGTAATTAATACTTGTATCGCAAAGGACATTCTGCGTTTCTTATTCGGAGGGGGTCGTAAGAACCGCACGCTAAAGGGCGGAGCTAATTACTCATAAGCTCTCGGAGTGCCAGTCGCAAATCCCCTCGTGAACACCTCTGTTTTTCAAAGGTTACGCCGTGTTCTCTCCCGTGCACACGACCGTGCTCTGTCTTGAGGGGATAATGAGTCACGCCATAGACGCGTGTTAACGTCATCGTTGAACCCCGTTGCAGGTAGACAAACCCGGCTAATAAAACGGACGCCGTTACACTTAGGTTACCTGGCTGGATTATCGGTCGTTCATCGATTCATTGATACATAGGACATTTATACCTGTGTTTACATTCCCGTCGATTTGCCCGCGAAAGCCTGCACATTAGGGTGCCCGTCGTAAATATTTTTTACCTACTTTATTACACTTCATTCAGGTAGAAAAAATACTTCGCGAGGGGTGTTAACGTTCTATGGCTCGGTGATTTCAGCTGGTTGCACCGGGGCACTATGGAATTCCTATGAATCGATCGTAAATCATTAAGCGTACCATTTATCACTACCAAATTATAAAAGGGAAGATCAACCTGTAGCTCTATAATTTCTTTCACAACTGCGCCTTGCTTTAACACGTTGACTGCCACGAGAATTTCGAACGTTTTGTGTAATAATACATATCCTTTTATAACAAGCAAATGATATTAGAAATAATTATTAATGACTTGGTATCACAGTACACGTGTTACACTATCATCTAACTGTTTGTGTTACTAAGTATTTTTAATCGACATCAGTTTTCTTATTGTAATTGTATTTAAGCAATTTTGAAGCTCCGGTCACCGGTGACCACCGTGGCTTTATTTCAGAATTCATTATAGAAAGAGAACTTGCTCGCGAGGTTGACTCGATATTGCATGGCAAGTGGTTAAAAGGGCGGCTCTGTTCCGATACAAATCTTTATTCCACGAAGTATAGGAAAGTCACCGATAGATATTCATCGGAATTCGACAGTGTTTGCTTAGGCGCTGTGCACGGTAGCTGGCAGGCGACGCAAAATAGAAAATAAAACGAAGTGCAAGGAAATATTATTGTTTGATCGCGCGCCAAGCACGAATCTTCGTGAAAACCAGAGACGCGTGAGTACACGCGGTTGCGCAATGTTAGCTTCGAGTGCCATCACGCTTAAGATCCGTCGCGACAAAGCCGAGCGCACTTAACCCGCTGCGCGCCGCGCCGCGCCGCGCCGCGTCGCGTCGCGTCGAACGACTATTATCGAAATCGTTGTAACGCCAGAGTTGTTTCAACCGCGACGAGGAAACTCGAGTCGTCGCGACAGGACGCGTCCGCCATTCAGATTAAGGCGGCGAGAGCTTTAACGCCCCGCGAGCAGTCCCCGTCAATTTTTGATCAGCCATCTCACGCTCCTCTCCCGATTTTTTCTCTTTTTGCATCAACTCGCGGCAAAGCCGTTTTCGTTTCCAGACTCGGTGATTTCAGCTCTCGCTCTCCCGAGCATCGAGTAAATCGCATTTATGCAGTTTCACGTTATCGCTGAATAATTAGCGGCGGATCGAAGCAAACAGAGAAACGATTCGAGGTTTATCGAGGCTTCGGTCAACCCCAAAAGCGATTCGTTGACACTTATTGGCCTCTTTGTTGCTCGAATTCGAAACAGCAATTTTCTTATCGTTGTTTTTGCGCTGGATTGTTAATGCTCCTTTCGTTTCGACGAACTTCAAGAAGCTTCTGGTCGACGGTATCTGGTTAATATCCGCGATATCTCGAAAATGTGCGCACGCCTTCGTTAATGAGAGGCCTGTCGATTTAATACCATTATAAAGTACAGTCTTATCGCTTCGGAAGACTAAGGATCGAAGTCTGGATTACCAATTGGTATCGCGGCGCGTTTGAAAACAGAGTTGCCGATTTTTCTTCCTGTCCTACCTGTGCAACTTTGGTGTCCCCGATATAGTCACGTCTACTCGGTGCATCGAGGTAGCAGATTATTTCCCTCGGAGTTGAAAGTTGTCTTCGAGCAACACGCGGAACCCCTCGTAACGCAGCCGAAGTGCGACTACAAAGAAACAAGAATTGATACACTCCGTTCCCCCGGCGGTGCACGCGTCAACAACGATCTTATCGCGCTGCAACTTGTTACTATAGATTATTCGTTCATATTTCCTCGTAATCAGATCTGCTTGGATCGAACCGCGCCGCGACATCGGGGGAACTTCCTGTTGCAACAACTTTCGATAATTGCGTCTACTCCCAGTGACAGGAAATCGCGGTCCGTTATCCGCCGAATAATTATCGCGCGAACATTCGTCGGACAATATTTAATTAGAGTTTCAATTAAATTCTGGAAACGCGTATAGATAGCTGCTCGCGTTAATTATTATTATATAGAACTTTTACATATACACCTACAAGCATAGATAGCTTTCACATAGAGCTTATCAATAGACGCACTCTCGAGCAATCAATTAGTAACAATAGAAATCAACGAATAATCAAAGGCATCTATCGTTGGTTCTAATAATAAATATCACAACTATTGCCCAGGTGATTTCAAATAAACCAAGCACACGCAGTAACAAAACAAATTCTCTTTTCGAGCCACGCCTTGCACAGTGCTAACCGACGAGGGATCTATAGATCTCCGGGGATCTAAGCTTCCCTTCCCTTGATTCCCCGTTGCCTGGAGGTTGCAGGCTCGCGTAAGAAACTTGAGGACTCGCAGCTCACCGCATTGTGCGGTTTTTATTCCCGGTCTTCTTTTCGTATTCCCTTTTCTTTCTCTTTTTATTTTCTGCCGGTCGTGCGGTTTGCACGCGCACACATTCGACATCGATCCAAGACAGAACGTGTGTCCAGGAAGGTGGGGACGGCGTGCTTTCTCATCCGCATTCTTCTCCGGACCGGACGGTTCGATCGCGGGAAGAGAAGCGAGAATATACGGTGCATATAATTGGGTCCAGTTTGCAGCGGGCCGCAGTCGGGCGTCCGAAGGACGGTGCGTGCAACGGAAAAAGAAACCCGAGCCGCGGATAATGCAACTGTTACGGGCCGGCCGGGAACCCGTTACCGCTGCACCGAAACCAGTCTCTTCCCGCCGGATCCCGATTTTCCGCAAACGCGGCCGCGATAACGCGCGTCCACGACACGTAATTTGTTATTCTTTGTTACTGGCGCGCGTTATCAAGCAACCAGATGACGGAGGGACCGAGAAAATAGGAAAAAACGCGCGACCGAGGGTGAGATCCAGTCCCGAGATTGCCGCAATTCCAACTGCACTCGAACGCGTACGTTTTCAGCCGTTATCGCTGCTCGATTAGCTTCGCAAGACGAATAGTGCGAAGTTTCTATATATCATTGCAATCACTGGAATCTCAGAATATTTCACTCGCGGCTGACATCATTGTTTACCGAAATTCAAACGTTCTCTTCGTGACTTATCGAACCGAATCTTGTACGAGATGCAAGGAAGAGCAATTGTTACGAAGAATCATAGGTTCTTAGTTTTCGCTTCAAGACAATTGTTTCGCAGAGGTCTCTCGACGAGTGTTCACCAGGCAAAGTGTCGCGAACCCCGAACACCCGCGACGAAGTTAACGCCGGAAAGCCGCCTCCATTATTCAAGTCGCGAGTATCCACTGTTCGTCCGAATAGCGCGAGGATTCGATTACCGCGGACGTGTTCGATCGACGAAACGGAATCGAACAGCACTTCTGGCAGCGGCGTGAGCTTCCGCGGCCGCCGGTTGCGCTGTCTCAGTCCAGTTAGCCGGCTCGTTAAAACGTCACGCGTTTCGCCTGAAAAATGTCTTCATTAACGAGTTAATGCGAGCCGGCGCGCGTGCAGCAACGCTCCCCGGCTCGTTTTGCAACAGTGTCGCCCGCGATCCCGTTTCTCTTCCCCTGTCCGCGGCCGAAATATGAAATCGAGCGAGAACACACGCCGGGGGCTATTCCCGTCGGTGCATCGGGTCAAACGTGATAAATAATATCGGGCTCCGGGCGCCGCGGACATCACCGCGGCATTTCCAGCCTCGTAATAAATTTATAGATATTTCCGGGTAATGCCGTCCGCCCGACAATGCGACCTTTCCCGACGCGAGCGTGCTCGGCGACGATTTCGGGAACGACGCACGGCGAGTTGGACGATCTTCGAAAGAATTTTCGGGCTTGCCGAAGTTCTCTCTTTTTGATAATCTCTTGTTATCCACTCGTTGGATCGTCTCAACACGCGCGCGTGAATGTGGAATTGTTTATCATTGTGATGCAAGATGACGTGAATGTGTAACATTGAAATTTAACCCTTACTCGAAAGATTTTCACTAGAAATA